AAAAAAAAAATCCCAGTGATTTTTTTTCGCTGTGTGGCGCAGAGGGCTCCGAACCTCATTGGCCCTGGGAAAGCCACCACGTGGCACGGGATGAAGAGCACGTGACCCATTTTCTCCCAAATCCCTCGCTTTGCTGGAAAGGGGGACGCGCCCACTGCTGATGTTCTTGTCATTTCAGTGGGCTTTGATTTTTTTTAAAGGCCACTGAGCAAATTGGGTTGCCTCGAGGCGATGAGGGCGAACCAGCCAACGCTTGCAACATAAAGGAGAAAGGAGCTTGAGTACGAGACGAGCACTGGGGCACTGCCCATGTGCACTGGGAAATTTGGAGATGCTTTACCAGGGTTACTTGCCCACCCGCTCCGGGGACAGAACCTCCGGGAGGGAGAGGAGGGCGTACAGCAACCCACATTTGGCTGCTGGTGATGGGCTGTGCCAAACCACCCAGGCAGAGCGGTGGAGGGAAGGACCAGGCTGAAGCCCTGACTGCAGACCCCAGAGCTCAGCTGGCTCCCGGAGCCTTGGAGGAAGGTGATGTGTAACAACTGCTCCATCACTAAAAGAAAGATTATCTCATGGCCCTGCATTGCTCCTGATGTTCCCCCCAGGCTGATCTCGTCCTCCGCTGTCCTCCTGGCTAATGCACGGTGGTTGCACCATCCACCTGCTCCAAGAGACGACAAGTCTCCTGCTTCGGAGACAGAGGGTCTGCCGAAACAGCTTTCTTGGAAGAAAGACCAAGCGCAGTGGAGGGAGCGTGGCACATTCCAGGTGGGCATCGCCAGGCTCAAAGGGCATTTCAAAATATCCCCCCCCAGACAGCCACCAAACCTAAAACGTAGCACAATTCTGGGGATGTTCTGCCCCAGAAGGGTCCCCAAGGCCCTGTGAAGCAAGGCAAGGCAAGCTACAGCTCCCAGCATCTGACTTTGAGGGATACTGGGGGTCCCTTCTTGCCCCAGCTCTGTATTTTCCAGGGAACAGCAGTTCTGAGCCACCACATCCCAGCCAGCAATGGTCCACAAGCCGAGCAGCTCCTGGCCTTCCCTCAGTAACAGCAGGTACCAGCCCACCAGTGTCAGGACACTCAGTGTGGGGAAGGGAAAAGGAATTTTTGGAGCCCAAGACGTCCTCTTGTTTTTTCTGCCAAAGCTCAAAGCCCATACGTTGTGCCAGTCAGAAGCTACATTTTTCTGGCAACCTGAGCCTCCACGTGGCAAATCCCTTGGCTGTGCCATCTTGTTGTGCCAGCAACACGCCTGTTCCCTGCCAATGGAAAGCCCCAGGTGAATCTACCTCTAGCATCTGCCCTTGAATTTCAGCAATGTTACTTCTGCAGAGCAGCTGTCCCCAGCGATCCTGTCACCCCAGGGCTCCAGTCCTTCTTCTCTAAGTGTAACCTTAGGCTCCTTGAAGAACCAGCTGAGCTTGGACTTTGGTGAGCAAGCACAGCTCTGGCCACCTCCGTGCCTTCTAGGCATCACCACCACAGCCTGATCCAGCACTCAGCCCGGCTGCTGTTCTCCATCACAGCTGTTCCCCCGCACACGGCTCTGCATGGGGACGGGAGGCATCAGGAGCACAGTCCCTATTTCCAGTCCTTCCTGAGGCCAGGCTGTCTCACCACGCTGTGATCAAAGACAGAAATACAGCCACAAAATGCCCCAAACGGTGTAGAGAAGTGCAAGGTTTCACCTGAAATCCTCTCTGTCTTGAAGGGCCACCCTTCTCCAGCCAGACCAACAAATTTATCCCAACAAATACACAAAAAATACAAAATCCAAGGGAGGAACTTGCCACACTCCGACGCAAACTACGGACACAGCCAAAAGTGCTCAGCTCGCTGCTTTCCCCTCCCGCGTTTTGCGATGGCCAACGTGCCAAGGGTGAGAAGAACCCCCCCCCACCTCCCAGCCCCACAGCTCCCTGTTCAGAGCCCCCTCATCCTTCCCCAGCGATGCCCAGCTAAATCTGGCTCCCGAGTAATCTTCTGAATAATTATATAATAGGGAGGCAGGCGGAGAAATAATTTTAGGCCGCCCTGTCGATAGAAAGCAAGCTGGATTAAAAGATCAGAACAAGCAATACTTGGATTAAAATGGTTTGTTATTTTCAGCTGCGGAAAATCTGCAGCTAAGGCACGGAAGATGTCGAGGGAAGGCGCATCACCTTTCTTGCCCCCAAAAAGAGCTTTCTACCTATTAGCCAAGGCAAGTTCTAGGTTTCCAACCTACGTTCAGGTTTTATTTCCCAGCGGGTAAAAAGAAACGTGATTTGCCAGTTCATACAGCATTTTATCTAAAGACTTAAGAGCAGCACAGGGATGTTTCAAGCTACTTTTTGCTCTGCAAGCCGAGTCCAAATCAAACACCATCAACGCATCGCTGCCTCTCAAGACATCAGAACCTTCGAGACATGGTGCGCCTCAGCAGACAACTTCATCACCTACAAGAAACCCACCGCATGGGTTGCATCGGTACCGACGGCTTTGCGCTGAGCGCATGCCTCCCTGCACCCCCAAGATGACAGCAGGCAGATGCCAGGCTTCGGGGTGGTGGAGAAGCCCATCAGACAGTGGGGCAGCTCTCTGCAGGCGCCTACATGGCGTCCCCCTGGCCCCCAGCAAGGTCAGCGTTGCGGGGTGCCATGCCGGGCCCCGCTCTGACTGATCGCTTTGGAAAGGCGTGAAGGGGAGGCGGGGAAAAAATGGTGGGAAAGGGACCCGGCGCTGGGGGCCGAGCTCTCCGCAGGGCATGGCGCTCATCAGCCGCATCCCGGATCGATGCCGCTAGCTTTGCTCATTCACCTTCAAGTTCAGATTAAGCAGAAGGGTCAAACTGGGAAATCGTTTGCCGCTGGTGGGCACATCCCCCTCACCACCCTGCAGCCTCGTGTCACACCAGGGCCAGCTTTTCCCCTTCCCACCCGAGCACCTTGCTTGCCGCACAGCATCTCCAGCCCCCAGCACCACTGGTGACCACTCGTCGCATTGCCTGCTCCATCTCGCATCCAGCAGCAGTATCCCAGTGCCACGTGGTCTCCAAAAACAGAGTCCTCTTCCAGGTTCGCACCTCGCACCTGTAGTTTTTCCTACAAAATAGTCGTGGCACTACACGCACAGGATAGCTCCGAGTTCACAGGATCAAATCCCACAGGGCATAAAGCTCAAGACACTGCCTTGAAGAGGGCTGAGCTTTTAAAATGCAGACCACTCCTTGCTTTGCATTTTGAGCCACAAGCTGCTGGCTTGCACAGAGCTGGGCACCGGGCTCCTCATCTGCCTGCGGATGTGGGAGAGGGGCTACGGCACAGGCCCGGGAAAAGGGATGGGATGTTGGACAGGGAGGGTGGGAAGGCAGAAAAATGAGGTCGGAGACCTTCGTGGAGTGAGGCGGGAGCTGTGGGATGTCGTGATGTTCACCCCAATGATGCTTTAATAACCACTTCTTGCAGAAAAGTGTCTTCACTTAAGCCAGAGAATAAAATACACTTGCTGGACAGATTTGGGCTATAAGCACTTGTGGGAGGATAGTCTGGAGACTTGGTCCCAGGCTGGACACTCAGTCCCCCAAGCAAGGACATGCCCTGTTTTTCCTGGAGTCAGCTATGGGGAACCCTACCCCAAGATCTGCTGTGCCAGCAAGCAGGGAAGAGGCAGAGCCCTCCAGGGATGCACTCTCAAGTGCATCCTTCCTTCACCTCATGGCCTTCAGGCTATCATCAGGAAAGCCAAAACTGCTCTCCACCCTCACAAAAACCCCTCTAAAGATGGATGTGTTTGTGTGGGGCTGCCCATAGCACACAGGAGCTGCAGATGGTGACAGCAGAGACCTCAGATGGTGCGCGCTCAAGACCAGGCACAACTGGTATCCACCACGTCGCCAGTGACCTTGGACAAGCCTCCTTGCACATTTTTGGGCAAGTTCTACTCTTGCTGTCACTTACTGGGTCACTTGCAGCTGCTCTGAGAAACCCTCCTTCCCCTTATCCCAAAGGCACCATCTTGTCGCAGGTATAGGGTGTTCCTCTGGTTGGTCTCTCCCATGGTTTTGCATGAAGGGAAGAGGGATCAGAGACACTTTTAAAAGGAAGGGGAGAGAAGAGACGTGTGTTTATCTGTCACTGCAACATTTCTAATTTATGGAGCTGCCTTCTCGCTCGAAGATGCATGTCCTCCTCTTTGCTAATGGAAAACATCGCCCCACCGTCCATTTGTGATAGTCAATGCCCGGGACAACATGATGGCCTCAGGCCAAAGCAGATCTATTTTAGTAACAAAAGCAGAGCAGCTGATGAAAACGACCCCGTCTATGCACTTCCCAGCCTAGCTCTTCAGCTGTTTTTAATGGACCCCTGTGACCAACGCGGTGGAAAGTGGGTGGCTGAGCACAACGAGGGCAGAGGTGTCAGGACGGGAGACCTGCACGGATGCAGGACTGCGCTGGCCCCTTCGCAGAGAGAGCCCCCAGCAGCAAAATACACCTCTTGCAGAAGCCCTGGGAGCAGGACTGCACTGTGCAGGGAGCAAAACCCCCTCCCCTTTTTTGCCCCACTCACGCAGAGCCAGGTCCCTGCGGTGCAGCAGTGCCTGTCCCTGCAGAGCCCAACCACGTCCTCCCTGCAGGCGTTTCCCAGCCTAAGGGAGACCACGGTGAAGCTGCAAAGACACCTCAGCATTTGGAAAGGGACTGAGCTCACCTTACCTTACCCTGCAGGCTGGCCTCGAGCTCCAGAGCGATTCCTCAGAGGGTCCGGCCACACCAGAAAAGGGCATGCTGAGCGCCGGGCGGAAACCGGGGGTCCGCGGCACGAGCCTGCAGACCAGGACACAGCAGAGGTTAGGCACAGCGCGGAGGAAGGACATTCAATGGCTGCTTGCCATCCAGGAAAAGTGAATTTCAGAGAGAAATAAAACACGGTTTGGGCTGGGGGGGGACGGGACACAAAACGAGCATGGGCATCACCTCCAGGTTGTTTGAGGGGCAGGCAGCAAAGCCCTGTCTATATTCTTCTCTACATTCAGAGCAGGTTTGGGCAGGTCCTACCCCAGCATCTACTGACCAAGGGGAGTCATCTGAAGAGCTGGGCTATGGAGGAGGGGGTCTCCAGGACACCACTCCAGCAAGACCCCCCAGGTGACCACAGACCAGCAGTCTGGCTGCGGGAACTGCCCCCACGGGGGGAGCACGAGCCAGGGGGTCTCCTTCATCAAGAAATCAAATCACAATGGAAATAATCCAGCATGTTTCCATGACATGGGCGCGGGGTTATTTTTATTGCTTTATTTTCGCTGCTGCTCCCAATAAGTTAACTGGGGCATGCATTACCCATCAATAAAATCAATCGAGCAGCCTGAGCCGCTAATAAGATGAGTGCCAGAGGGCAGAAAAACCTCTCCATCACCCAAAATATTCTTCAGGCAGTGGGACGGGCGAGCTGCGGGCCCCACTCATCGCTCGGACTTGGTGCTGCTCTTGACATGCTGGGGCAGCTTGTGCGTGATCAGGGGAAACCTTCCTCTTCCTGATGACTTAGCAGCCACCACGCTCATCCCCAGCAACCTGGGCAGGAGGGGATGATGCCAGGAAGGAGCCCATCGGTGGGAGGGGAGCCCATGGGACCCCTGAGGTCAGTCCTCAGTCCCACCTGCTGCTCACAGGAGCGTCAGCACTAAGACCAAACCAGGTTTCCCAGGGCTTGATCCCTTTGGGGCTTGAAAGCCTCCCAGGATGGACACTGCACAGCCTCTCTCAGCAACCAGCTGTCCTCAGAATTAATGTTTTTTCCCCTCACAACATCTTATATGTCTTTCTGAATGGCAGCCACGTCCTCCAAGGTACAGATTGACTCCCCAGCTAGTGTCACCAGCAAGCAGGACAGGTCCCAGACAAATTGCCAACTGGAAAGGATGGAAAAGCCAAACTGTGACTCACCGTTGGAGGAGCAGCGCGGGCAGGTCGGGGAGGCTGTGGGGCAGAGGGCTGGGGGTCATCAGCGGAGGCGGCAGGGGAGGACCTGGAAGGCAGCACGACATCTCAGCACCCCGGGGTGCCCAGCCAGGCCCCCCCACCCTGAGAACCCGCAAGAGCATCCTCCCAGCACCGCTGCCACGGTGAGGGCAACCCGAGGGAAGCATGTGGGTAAAACCAGCCCCCAGTAGAGGAATCCCAAGTAATTTTTTTACGCTGATTAGCACAAACTTCTGGTCACCGATTCCGGTATCGAGAAAAAAGAAGGAAAACCCCTGACTTCGGCACCAGCTTCATCAAAATATGTGTGAAGGAGAGGGCTCAGACAAAGATTCAGGATGGTGGAAGGACAAGGGGTTGCAAGGAAACCCCCCGTCCTGCTGCCCAGCTCCGGTGCGGGCGCAAGACCCTCCGTCCCAGCGCCACGGGCGCATCCTGCATCCTCACTGCCCACGCAGGCGCAGGGCAGCGAATTCACAGGGGAAGAAACTTTTGTTTGTCTTTCAGGTCACAGGTTTGAGTTTATCCCGAGACAAGGCTTAGCATTCAGGAAACAGGTCATTAAAGAATTTGTCAGCAGTTTTCTTAATCAAATATTGCTCCATCTCCTGGCAGCTCTGCTTCGTGTTATGTTACAACCCCTCTGCCCTTGCACTAACAAGCTGCACGGTAGGATCCCAACCATGACCCCGCGGTCTTGCACTGCGCACCACGTGCACACCCACGCACAGAAACTCCTGCTTCCAGCACAGCTTCTTCCTCGAAATGCTTGGTGCAGATTGAATTGCAAGCCAGCCTCAAAAACTGCTATTTCTACGGCTTGCAGCCCCCCTGAGATGCACAGGAGCAGCTCAGTCAAACCGCACACACTTGTCGAGTCACCTAACTCATGTTCTCTGCGATTACAGTGCAGGTCACCTCCAGGTATGGACGTGCCTGTGCTTCCCATAGGACTGGTGCCGTGCTGGGGCCAAATCTCGGTTCCAGCATGGCTACCAGTGCACCTCAAGTAATCCAAAAGCTGCCTCCAAGCAGAAACCTCAGCACTGCAAAGCACTTCTTGACCATGGCTGCTTTAAGCATCCCCCGACACTTCCTGTGGGGCTGTTTCCAGAAGACTTCTGCCAGGTGCCCTCATCCAGCGGCACCACCACAGCCGAATTGATGCTGGCTGTGGCAGCTGGCTGTGTCCCCACATCACACAACAGCGGGGTCTTGCTCATCAGTGACCAGTGTAAGGCTGTCAGGAGCTGTCTTAAAAGTCAGCATCACAAGCTTAAGGACAAGCAACTTTTTGGTCTGCTGGTAGACTATCATCCTCGCCATCGTCTCCCAGATCCTCTCTCCAGCACGGCTCAAGCCCCTGCAGCTTGTGTTTGCTCTGGCAGTACAAGCAGAGTCAGTTATTGTCTTTCATGGCTGTTTCTCCCCAGTGAAACATGCATTGATGCCATGAGAAAGACACCAGCAAGCTTATTACGCCAAAAGCTTTCTATCTCCTGATCCATGGCAGTGGAGATGGAGACCATGGCCCCATCCCTGCACGGCCAGCTCGCCCGCTAGCTCTCACGGACTAGGTCCCATTAACCCATTTGGTCAGCACTGTTCACAAGGGGTGATCCAGGATGCTAAGGGAGTCACTTGTGAACAGCAGAGAGGCAGAGGTGTCCAGATCCCAGCAAAATCACACCTATTGTTCCCAGATAAAAGCACCTGAGGATACAAGGAATTCCAAGGCACTGATGTGGCCAGTCCCCACAAAAATCAACCTTTGTAGACGACGTCATTTCAGCACCCTTAACTCATCACAGAGAGGCACCGAGCACCCTGAGCAGCAGGGACCCCACGCAGGACAACACTCCCCAGAGGCTCAGCAGCAGCACCCTCAGCTTCACGCCACCCACGCATGCTGAAGGGCTTGGCCACCTTGTTCCGGGGGGCTTGAAATTTCACAACATTTCTTCTTGAGTGGGTAAGGAGGAGTCATGGAGATGTGGCCAAACATTCTCTGAAGAGGGTTTGACCGCGTAGCATCAATAGGATGCAAGGTGAGGAGCAAACTGTGTGTGGCTCCCCGCTCGTGCGCAGCCTCGGAGGTGAGCTGACGGGTGCTTCCACATGCAAGCAGGTCCTGCGCCCGGTCCCACCAGGCTGTGACAACTCCTCTGCCTCCACCCAGGCTGAGCAAGCTGGTGAGCGCTGCTCTTGATGACATCTGTGGGCATCCAAACTGGCACTGAGGCACGGGGGCTGCCCCTGGCACTGCCTCGGTGGGTGTCCAGAGTACCCCAGCTCACACGCTGCGCTGCTGCCAGGCTCCATCCTGCAGATCACACCAGGAATCATTTTTAAGGGTCCCTCACAGCAAAGCTTGCTTAGGCAAAACCAAATTTTCAGCAGCCCTGCCCAGTCTCCCCATCTCTGCACCTACGTTCCCGCTTCTGCATCACAGCCCCCTCAGGACCCTGGCACACTGCCCTGTCCAACCATCCCAAATACCAGCAGGTCCTCCCATATCCCCTACTACATAACACCCCCTAAAAAAAAAAGAAAAGCAAACCTGCTCCAAAACCCAGCCTGTGTCTCCTGCAAACTCAGCCAGCCAAGATGGACTTCAGCTCCCCCTCACCTGTGAGTACTCGGCTGATTGTGCCCATAGTGCATCTTGCTTGGCCCTGTGTTTGCAACCACGGGGCACCTGTGTGGGGTCTGAGGTCTGCAGAGAGCATGGAGAGCTCGCAGATGTCCTCTTGCTTTGCTGCAATAACACCCCCAGGGAAAACTCCAGCTCTGTGGGAAAAACATGCTGTGGAGCTGGTGAGGGATGCACCAGATGGGATGGGATGGGGATGTCCTCCCACCGTATCACCAAATCCCTGAGCTATAGAACACCTTTTAGACGGGAACCTCAGCAAGGCAGCGCCGTGTGCACTGGACCCCAAGGCTGCCGGCCCCCTTCATGTCGGAGGGGACCCCCCTCACACCCAGTCAGGGTGCAGCAGCCCCCGTGCCGCTGGGATCCGCTTTGTTCTGCTGCTCGGGGTTTTCAGTGCTCATCGCGCAGGGGAGAGAACGATCCTCCCCTGACCCGCGTTCCCGTCATCCGCCTTACTGGGTGTTTTACGCAGACAGAGGCAATGATTTTAATGTCCCAGTGAACAAGCTGTCGGGACGCATCAGCCTCAAAGGGCAGGCTTCAGCGATGGCTTCTCCTCCCAGGCGCTGCCTGGGCAAGGAAAACCGATTCCAGCTCTGCACACGCACGCACACGCACCACGCATGTGCCACCGGCGCCCGTTATTCTCCGGCCTTTTAACAGAACACCCTTCAAAACCCCACTCCTCAAGAGGGGGAGGTGGTGAGCCCAAGGTGGGGGCCCCAAGGTGGGCATGGCCGCCGGGCAGGCAGAGCCGGCAGCCTCCGGCGTGACGTGATGGGACCTGAGCGCTCTGAAGCCGTCAAGAGTCTCGGCAAAGATGAGCTGAGAAAAGCCATGAGTGGAGATGACATCTGCCCCCCGGGCGGGTACCTAATGAGCGGAGACATTGTCCATTTGGGGAGACGAGGTAAAGTTAAAAGATTTCCGAGCTGACACCTGGCAGCCTCCATCGGTACTCCTGGCGAAACAGCAAAGGAAAGGAGAATGGAGACGGGGGGCCAAAACCGGTCCCCCCGCAGGCTCTGCAGCTGTGGGTGAGCAGGATGGGGATGGCGCTGGCATCTCAGCAGCTCATCTCTGCTGCCCGGAGATCCCCTTTTCGTGATTTTCTGCCGTGTTAGAAGAGAAACTGGTGCTTTCTGCTAG